GGGGTGGGGGGGGGGGTACTAGGACCTTAGTATAGTATAAGTGTGTCTCTGAGATTTCGGGCATAGATTGGGGGGTACTTATGCATTTTTCCTATTTTATATTTAGAGGATTTTGAACTTTTGTTAACTTACTTGTATGAAGAAGAAACCCCACATTGGCTATTATTTGAGGAAGTGGGCAAGCAATATAGTATGGGTTGGTGCAAGCCTGGGGTAGCTAGGCCTGTGCATTCATGGTTTGCCAAGTACATCCTACTAGGGACTCCACTAAATGCTACTATAGCATCTTGGATAAGTAGTATTAAACTTTTTTATTATCTGAAGTAAAGTTTAGGTTATAAGAGAAATAACGAATTGAAATCAAAATTTTGAACAACATTTTAGTGGTACTTTAATCCGTCTTTCACAAGAACAGAAGACATCTTGAACAAATTTCTTAATCATTATCTTTATTGGATAGAAAAATGATCTGTTATACTTCTTAATTTTGTGATTTCGATTTAATATACCTTTCGTTCAAAAAAGTGGCTCACACATATTATGTATGATATTATTATATTATATATGTCTCTCGTTAAAAAGTAATTTTAGTGATGGAGTATATGATGCAAATAATTCTTTGTTGGCACAAACATGAGGCACCAAAATCTATCCACCAATCTCTTGGATTTCCAACCAAGTTGCATTCTGAAATCATTGCACATAGATCGTCCATCTCTTCTTTTGATTCAGCCAAATTTTCTTGATCCTTCTTCTTGTCCTTTTTAGGACCCTGATATTCAGTAGCCCTACGACCACGTTTGCCGCAGTTGAAGCAGTTTCCATTGAATTTCTTCTTGGGAGGATTGCTCTTTGGTCTAGATGCTTTCTTTCTTTTCTTTGATTTTGTGGGATCTTCTTCAACATTATTTACTCCAGATATTGCTGAATTACCACGTGACCTCTTTTCTGCGGCTTTGTTATCCTCTTCGATTCTCAGTCTTACCATGAGAATCTTCAATAGTCATCTCCTTGTGTTTATGTTTCAAGTAGTTTTTGAATTCCTTCCACAATGGGGGTAACTTCTCAATAATGACCGCCACTTGAAAAATATCATTCACAATCAATCCTACATCAAAGATTATGTGAGTATTAGGAACAAACTTAATATGTTCAACATAGGTATATATTAATTTATACCTTCAGCAAGGAGATCATGGATTATGACATGCAATTCTTGAACTTGGGTAACGACAATCTTACTGTCTATCATCTTATAGTCTAGAATTTTTGCCACAGTGAACTTATTCATTCCGGCATCCTCTGTTTTGTACTTCTTTTCCAAAGCATCCCAGAATTCTTTTAAGGTCTTCACACTATTGTACACATTGTACAGATCATCTTGCAGGCCACTCAGAATATAGTTTTCACGCAAAAAATTTGAATGCTTTCATGCTTCTGTTACCAAGAATCGTTCTTCGTCCGGAGTTTCATCTGATAGAATAGGAACGTTCTCACTAATGAACCTCTGCAGACTCGACGTAGTCAGATAGAAGAACATCTTCTACTATCATCTCTTGAAGTCGACTCCATAAAACTTTACAGGTTTCTCAGTCGGTGCAAGGACAGTAGTTGAACGATTGTGTGCAACCGATGTTGTTGCAACACTCACTGTTTCAACATTTACTTGACTTGAATTAGTCATTTTTCTGTCACAAATGGCAGACAATTTAGTATGTGAAATACTAGAAGTAAAGAATAAATCTTTATACAACCTATTTCTTATTTAACGATGAAGTTTTTATGTTCTTTTAATCGTTAATCGAATGAATTTTAAAATTCAAACAGAGTAGAAAACCAGAAAGGTTTTAATCTCCAGAAACCTCAAATACAAAAATAAGTATTAAATTTCTTAAGCTTGTTATCTCCTGTATTCAGATTAGCGAAAAACAGAAATAGAAAAGATTATATAGACAAAAAATAAATAATCTGAGTCCACAGCGTCGGTTCGGAAGGAACAGGTCCCTTCAGAACGACTTTACCGTTACACGCGAATTTTCAAATAATTCTGTTACGCTAAATTAATTCCGTTAATTAATTAACATTCATGAGATTGATTAAATAAATTTTGCCTAAAAAATTATCAATCAATTGCCGCAGCCGAAGCCAACGGCGCGAGGGGCACCTTCTACTTAACCCTTTAAAAGCTAATGAAAGTGTTTCTTAATATAAGGACAACACTTTTCCTTTCTTCTACCAATATGAGAGAAATGACTTTTCATTTTCCCTCCAATGTTCCCCGCATTTCCCAATTTCTCATTCACACCTTGCTAAAACCCAACACTTTATTATGATTATATAACATATCAAAATAAAACAAAAGTTTAAAAAAAATATTTTCACAAGATTTCTCATGAATCGATTTGGATTACATATTGACCCAATTTTTAATGAATTAAAATTAATTGAACTAATAAATGAACGGATCTTTAACCCGCTCAAACATAAAAGAATTGGATCGATTCAATTGATTTTTTACCGTCCCAAATTATATACTACTTCAAACAATCTTATAAAAACATAGATAGCATGTGAACCATAAAAAGGAAGAAAAATATTCAAAATTTAGCTTTAAAAAATTAGGTGACATAGAGCAAGGTCATTTATCCTCGGAATCGTAGTCTATTTGTGTTGCTAGTTTTTGAGGTTTGGCGAATTTAGGCATAGTGAATCTTTAGACTATTTTAAAAAATAAAATAAAATACACATTTCTAATTATAATACACAAATTAATTAGTGTATATAGTCTTAATGGATTAATTGGAAAATTATTTAGGAAAGAATAGTTAATGTTACGTTGTAGGAGAAATAAGATTTTATTTTTATGTCTTTTACTTGACTGCAAAGGTGATTTTTTATTTATTGTAATGGACAATTATAAGTGAACCACGAGAGTATTTAAATGAGTAAAAGAAAAAATAGAAAAGGACCGCTTATTCTAGAGGCGTTAAATGAACGATTTGAATTGAAATTGAAAATACTAAAATGAATTCAATAGAAATAGGGCTGAGCTATAATTTGCCCACATTTATTTTGGTCTCAAATGAGCTAAAAATTGGATTGAGTTATGACACACATAATCTCAATAATTTTAATATATTATTATTTATCTTTTACAACCACAATTTAAATTTCAACTTAAAAAAATAAGTTACAAATTGATGATAAAATAAAATAGATAGTAATTGGTGATTCATTAAATTAGACTCAATTGAAGATTCTGTTAAAATAGGTTGAGACCTAAATCAATTGAAGATGACCAAATTCAAAAATTATGTTAAACCCAACCCATAAAATTCTGAATGAATTAGACATGTTATCTTCAACCCAACCCATAAATGGCCCTCTAACTTTTTTTTTTTTTTTTTGTATATATAATTCAAACAGTTAAATGGTCTTCTCACTCATTTTCCTTCAGCTCGTCAGTTTCAAACCAGAGACCATGGCTCAAACCTCTTGTAACAATGGCGAAACTGATGAGGTGCAATCCTATTCTGCTCCCATCAACTCAACTTATAGTCTTCCACTTGTTATTTTAATCAATTAATTTGGTGGTTTTCATTAATTTTTACATTTATGTTTCTTTTTTCCTCTCCAAATTGCAACCTTTCTAGTAGATATTTAGTTTAGGTGATCTGTTTTTCTTCTTGGATATCTTTAATGCAACCTTTTTCCATAATTTATATCTTTGGTTTTCCAGGTTTTGGTGGAGGAGCGCGGAAGTGTTAGTACTATTTTTTTGACATATGATGACATGTTATAAGTGATAACTATTCCCTCAAACTTATTTATCCAGATATCTCGGCTTACGGAACTTTTCTATACGAGTGAAGAAGATTCTAATGTGAAGATGATAATATTAAAGGTATTTTTAATAGTAGTAGGATCTTTTGTGATAATTAAATTTCCTGTCATAGCTTAACATGAGGAGGGAAACTTGATGCTCAGCATTCTGCCTACAAAAATATTTAGAAACTACTTGCAGGAAGAGTTGCAATGATTTTGATTTGCTTTATTCAAATCTTATTTCTTTATCGAAGAACTTCAGTTTGTTCCCTGTCTCATCGATCTCTTGACACTGGGAAGAAAGTTTTTTCCTCATAGCTTTAGTGACATTTTCCCTGTAAGGATAAAGCTGGCTAATCAGCTACCTCTCTTTGGTATCTCACTGGTGCTGACCAATCTAGTGTTTGATCCCACCTACCTTTCTCCTCGGGATACATTAGGCTTATGTTTCTTGGCAATCGGAACAATCCACATTATCAACCTCTGGTTGTATGCTACAAAGTTCTCTTAATGCCGCCTGTATATCTCAATTGCAGTCAAGAAATGTTACTACTTTTCTTGTATCAATATTTTCCAGGGACACGGAAGGGCTTTTTGTGCTGGTGGTGATCTTTCAACTCCTTTTCATATTATTCGCCAGGGTACGTATTTGCCAAATTGGTAATATCTTGTCAAACACAATCTATTAAAATTGGATCCATGAACTGAAGTTTAACTCCCCAAGTAATTTCTTTCAATGACATAAAATTCAGATGTTATCCAAGTCCATATCTTTGTACTATTTACCTGTCAAATCCATCTTGTTTCTCACTTTACCTAGAGATTAGGTTTTGAGCAATCAATATATAGTACCAGTAAATGTGTACTCAAGAGTGTGTGAGGTCTCAGGTTCAAGTCTAAGCGGAGAAAAAAATTAGTAGGTGATTTCTTCTCATCTGTCTAAGCCTTGATGAGAAGAGTTACCTAGTACATACAAGTGTTGGTATGAGGTAGCATGTATCCAGTGGAATTCTCACAACTTAATTTCTGATGAAGCCATGACCGGAACCCTGTGCGTTAACTTGACCGAGCGAACCATCTTGACTTTCTTATATGTTCTTAGTCATATTAAAATGTGAGACTCCATGTAATTCTTTGAAAAGTAAATATAATATTGCATCTCAAGTTCAAGTAATCACTTTGAAAATTTTATATAAATGTGTTTATACCCTCTTATCATTGTTCAACTTTATAACCCACATTCTAAGACTGTCTATGAGCCTCTAAGATTTAGAACCTTGTGCCACTGGCCCTCGATGATTTCTAGGTTATAAAAGAAATGCATAGCTTAATGTCCCCACTTACATATTTATTTACTCATGCTTATCAGGTAACTGGCAACTTGGTGCTAATTATCTCCGAGAGCAGTACACCTTGATTTATATGATTGCAACATATAGAAAACCCCAGGTTAAATCTGGTTATGTCTAATTTTAGTTCTGTGATATTACTTTCTTTGAGGTTCTCCTTAATCTTGTTTGGACTTCCCATTGAAGGTTTCCATCCTTAATGGAATTGTCATGGGAGGTGGAGCTGGTGTTTCTATACATGGTAGATTTCGAGTTGCGACAGAAAAGTCGGTAGATTCATTGTCTTGTTTACCCTTTTGTATTTGATCTTCTCCACATTCTTTGTGGTTTGTTTCAAATGTGTCTATCTAGGGAGTAACAGTGATTGTTCATGTGGAATAGCTGAAACAAAATAGCTCTTGGAATCCTTACAGTTTTGAATTGAAGGATTCATATCTGGCAGAACTTCATGTTATTTGTCTCAGAGATCTTATAAATAATTTTTACCTTTTTTCATATAAAAGGCTCTGGCATAACTAGAGTGAAGTTGGAGGAAAATCTTACAAACTGTAAATCTTCATGAGCTTTAATTTGTACCTTGGATTTGCATTGAGGGTTTATTTTTCTTAGGCAGTAATATGTACCTTATTCATAGATGGTGCTGGTTCCTACATGTAATCGGATACCAGAAATTTCATATCCAATGTAATTTTTATGTATGTTTCTCTGTAGGTATTCGCTATGCCTGAAACAGCTATGGGACTCTTTCCTGATGTAGGTTCCTCTTACTTTTTATCAAGACTTCCAGGATTCTTTGGTAATTTCACTAGCCACATTGTTCATATTTATAAAGAAAATTACTGCAATTGATGTAGTTCATTCGAGTTTATTGTGAAGTTATCTGCCACTTTTCATTGTTTGAAATTTAAGTCACTACCTGGTCCTCAAGCTCCACTAGTTGAGGCTATATGTCTTAGGAGAGAAATGGTTAGCTCAGCTACATCCTTAAAATCAAAAGTAAAAAAAAGTCACAAGCAGAAGATAGGTCTTTTGCTCCTGCAGAAGGTGTTCAAAAGGTTGCCGCACATGCCCTATGGATTAAAGCAGCAGCAACTATGTGCCTTTTGGTGCATCTTCTCTTATATTCTGAATTTTCTGGACATTTTTTTTATCTGTTTTTCACCATTTGCCATTCATTGATCATGTTTCCCTACTTAAAACTAGTTTTTCGCCCGTTGCACAAACTTAGGTCAATCCTTTTCACATACAAGTGTCTATAAAACTTTTTCCCTACAGATACTTTGGGGTGTTAGCTAGATGTGAGCCTTAGTTGTCATAGTTATGGCTGAATGTTTAAGTTTAAGTTATTATAGAAATCAGCCTTAGTTTTCAACTTTTCACGGTGACTGCTGAATTTCTTTAGATCATCACAAATGTAAAATATCCTTTGAAGCCATGTATAAAATCTTCTCTACAAGGATATTTGAAAATTGTGGTTTTTATAAAATCGTTGACATTCTAAATAATTCAGAATTATACCCGATTTTATTTAGAGATATGATCCTTCCTTTTCTTCCCTAATTTTAGTTGTGCTGATTATGTTGCTATTATTGCGGAAAACCATTTCCTACATTGTCAATGATGCCCAGAGAATTTGTACTTACAAAGGTTATATCTTGCAGGGGAATATGCTGGTCTTACTGGTTCTAGGTTTGATGGAGCTGAAATGCTTGCTTGTGGTCTTGCAACCCACTTTGTGTCATCAGATGTATACTACCTTAATTTTTAGCATGTTATGCCCATTTACAATTGCTTCTATAGGAAATCATTATGTTATCATAATGGCAATACTGATGCTGCTCCCTTTACTAACTAAATTTCTAATCCACTGTTTATCTGAAGGTGTCAGGCTTATGGTGTTAAAATGGTAATCTTATCTGTCATTTGTTATATAGGTCTTACAAATCCTTTTTAGTTAGTTTGGTTGCGGCAGCAGCAAGTTCAATAGTTTCATACCTGTAATAATCAATCTTCTGTTGTTTCTTTTCCAAAATACTAATTAAATTAATTAATAGAGCTTTATAGATGTATCATGTAGAGTACAGTGTGCACATTGATTTATTTTTTTTGGTAATTAGGTACCAACAAATATGAATTCAAAGTACTTGGAGAAAAATTCTACGGGTTTTGTAAACTACCTTCCCCTGCAGTTCCAAGCTAATCATGCTTGTTGGAATTTGGATTTTGTCAGCCATGCTTGAAATGGTTCTTAGATGGATTTATGGACTTTTGGCACTTCTAAGATGTGGTTCATTGATCTTGATATACATCAAATTGCATAATATTTGTTTATTAGTTCATTCCTCCCGTCTTTGCTCTATTTGAATACTTTGTCTCTTCCTTGTGTTCACAGAAATTGCCACTTTTAGAACAAGAACTAGTTAAAGTCAACACGAGTGATCCAGATGCTATATCTGCTATCATAAGTCGCTTCTCTCACATACCAAAGTTGAAAGAAGGAAGTCCTTACCACAAGTGAGTTCATTTAGTATCTCTATATTATGATGTTTGTTTTTTTGCTGATTTATTGGAAGCTTACCTTCTAAATTTGCTCTTTAGAAGTCATTATCTATGCTCTTTATTTTTATTTTGCTCTCATGTTATTTTTCTTCCTGTTGTGGTAAGACTATTTTCCCTCTAATTTATATCGCAGTTAGAAGCTTAAGATGATGGATAGCATTCCAAAGTTTCCATTGTCTCTAGGGAAAATATTGTTCAATTAAGCAAACCTGTAGTCTTTGGATTTTCATGACCTCTTTTTCAACAGTGCACCAGTTTTACTTTCTGCAATTTTATGCATGTAGGATGAAGATTATTGATCGCTGTTTCTCTCGAAGGACAATTGAAGAAATCATATCTACTCTTGTAAGTTTGGGAGATGGATGGTGGTTTGATGTGTTCTCTTTTTTTTTCTGTGCTGAAATTACTTTGTAAAATTTTGATAATATAAGTTACTAAAATATGTGTAAGAACTTTGCATGAATTTTTTAATAGGAAAGTGAGGCTTTGGACAAGAAGGAGGAGGACTGGATCTCTTCAACCATTCAGTTGCTGAAGAAAGCATCCCCTACAAGTCTTAAAATTTCCTTGAGATTAGTTAGTCAATCGCTACCTTGTGATACCATGATTTTGTTACCTGAACTTCTGTACCCTTGTTTCTTCAGATTGATCAGAAATCGGTCATGTAGGAAGTAAGACCAAGTTTTTCTTAACAGCTGCCCCAGAAAGATCATTTGGATTATACGCTTGGATTAGGATTATTTATTCTGGATTTTTAAATTTGATACTAGATTAGTATTGCTGTGAA